GAATTTCTCCAGCCTCATGGACTCCTTCAGCTTTACACAGCATGTTTCTGGCCCCACACACACCAGGGGGCACTATCTAGACCTTGTTTTTACCCTTAGTCTAAATGGTGACAGTGTTTGTCCTGAGGACGTTTATATTTCAGATCACCATTGCATTTTCTTTAACTTGTCAGTTTCTGCGTCCCCACCTCCTGCTCGCCGTATGGTTAGTTCTCATTTTCTTAATGAGAGCACAGCTAGCAATTGTTCTGCTGCTTTTGATCCACCCTGTTCTTCTGATAACGACCCAGATTCCTTAACTTCTCAGTTCAACGAACACTGCCTCTCCATTCTGGACAACATCTGTCCTGTCAGAACCAGATCAGTTCCTGCAGTGAACCCTACTCCCTGGTTTAATGACAGCCTTCGCAGCCTGAAGCGCCAATGCAGAAAAATTGAGCGTTTGTGGAAGAAAACCCATCTCCACGTCTATCTGCTGCACCTAAAGGATCTTCTGTCATCCTTTAACTCTGCAGTCAGAGACGCAAGGGTTTCCTATTTCTCCAACCTGGTGTCCCAGAGCAAAGGGAACCCCAAGGTGCTGTTTAACACCATCAGCAGCATCGTCTCTCCTGCCTCTCCTACAGCCTCCATCCACTCTGTTGCAGACTGTGAGAACTTTCTGTCTTTCTTTGTGGACAAAGTCAATAAGGTTAGATCTAGCATCTCTCCTTCAGCCTTATTGCTGCCTCTCCCGACTCCAACCAGGCCCATCATCCTAGATAGCTTTGCTCCTGTTTCTTTGCCTGAGTAAACCAAACTAGTTAACTCTATGAAGACCTCTGCATGCCCCCTCGACATATTACCCTCATCTTTGTTTAACTCTGCTTTTCTGTCCATCTGTCCCAGCGTGCTCTCTATAATTAATGCTTCTCTGGTTTCTGGTCAGGTCCCTGCTTACTTTAAGAACGCTGTAATCCACCCGCTTCTTAAAAAAACGAGTCTCGACCCCTCTCTCCATAGCAGCTTCAGACCCATCTCTAAACTTCTGTTCATCTCCAAGATCTTGGAAAAGGTTGTGGCTAAACAACTCACAGCTGCTCTTGATGAACATAACATCTATGATAGCTTCCAGTCTGGTTTTCGTAGAGCTCATTCTACTGAAACAGCTTTTCTTAGGGTCTCTAATGACCTTCTGACTCACAGTGATGCAGGGGACTGTTCTGTTCTGGTCCTGCTGGACATGACGGCAGCCTTTGACACTGTTGACCATCACCTGCTACTGGAGAGGCTGAGAGACTGGGTAGGCCTATCAGGAACTGCTCTGGAGTGGTTCTCCTCTTATCTCTCTGAGCGCTCCTTTTCTGTGGCCGTCTCCAAGTTTAGGTCCTCCACCACCTCCCTTACCCATGGTGTCCCACAAGGTTCTGTGCTGGGGCCTCTGCTCTTCCTCCTCTATCTGCTTCCTCTTCAGCACATCCTGAGCTCCTTCAAAGGAATCTCCTACCATCTTTATGCAGATGACATCCAACTGTACATCTCCTTTAAGCCCCAAGAGATGTCTAAGCTGCAGCTGTTACACACAGGCTTAGACTCTATCAAAACCTGGATGGCTGGAAGCTTTCTACAGCTGAATGAAGATAAGACTGACATCCTCATCTGTGCCCCAGACAAGCTGGTTCCCAAAGTCAGAGACTCTCTTGGTCAGCTTGCTTCCCACACCAAACCTTCTGTCAGGAATCTGGGTGTGACCTTTCACCCAGCTCTCACCCTGGATTCTCATGTCAGTTCTCTTGTTCGCTCTTCCTTCTTCCATCTCAGGAACATTGCTAAGCTGAGTCCTATTCTGTCCCGCTCTGAACTTGAGACAGTTCTCCACACCTTCATCTCCTCACGCTTAGACTACTGTAACTCTCTTTTCACGTGTCTGAGCAGAACCTCGCTGAACCGTCTACAGGTGGTTCAGAATGCCTGTGCTTGACTTCTGACCAAGTCCTCCAAACACACCCACATCACCCCGCTTCTCCTCCAGCTTCACTGGCTGCCAGTCAACTTCAGGGTTCATTTCAGGATCCTGGTTCTGGTCTATAGGGCCTTACATGGACAAGCACCATCTTACATTGGTGATCTTCTTAGTCCAGGGGTGTCCAATCCTGGTCCTGGAGGGCCGGTATCCTGCATGTTTTAGTTTGAACTCTATTTCAACACACCTGATTTAAATCAGCAGCTAATTAATAGGCTTCTGCAGAGCCTGACAAGCTGCTGCACAGGTGTTTCAACCACTGAATCAAGCCTGTTGGGAGCAGAAAAACCACAAAACCTGCTGGATACTGGCCCTCCAGGACCAGGATTGGACACCCCTGTCTTAGTCGCTACACCCCCTGCAGGTCCCTGAGGTCCAGTGATCAAAGCCTACTGGTTGTGCAGCACCAGGCTAAAGACCAAAGGTGACAGGTCATTTGCTGCTGTGGCCCCCAGACTCTGGAACTCTCTCCCCCTGAGCCTGAGATCAGTGGACTCAGTGGTCTCCTTTAAAAAACAGCTGAAGACTCGCTTGTTCAAGCTGGCTTTTGTATGACCTTCTTCACCACTCTCTCTTTATTCTGCTCTCCCCACCTATTCCACCTTCCTCAGGATCCACTGATTTCCCTCTTTCCTATTCACTCTCTCTCTTTCTTAACATTTTTTAATCACAATTGTCCATTTTTTCTCATTTTAAATATATCTTTAAACATTTTCTAAATGCTTTTTTATATTTTTAAATTTTTTGTTTTTGTGGAGCACCTCGTGATTTTTATCTTGCGGGGCACTATAGAAATGATATTTTCTTCTTCTTCTTAGCTGCTCATTCAGGGATTTATTGCCCTCTTGTGGTTATTTGGCAGCATTACAAAAACATGTTCGCAAATAGAAAAGGAAAATCCTGTTTTATTTGCCACATAAAACTCAAGACTGCATTAAAATATTAAATTTATGTCTAGAGACACAAAAATGCTTTTAAAAACATTATAAAAAACTTATTATAAATGCATACATGTATCTCACCGTGATGTTAGGTCTATGAATATACACATAAACTTTAAAAATCATCCAGTGATGTTTTAAATGCTGTCTTTCACAGTGGGAAAGCACCTACGAGGTGGATTTCAGACCTCTCCAGGATTTCTAAGTGGGATGTTCAGTAATTGTATTTAGTGGAGCAGATTTTGCTCTCCAGATCTACACCGAACAAAAATATAAACTCAACACTTTTGTTTTTGCTCAAACATCTGAATACACACACAAAACAACCATAACTCTCAGATATAGTTCTGAAATCCGTTTACAGGTGTGTTAGTGAGCACTTTTCCTTTACCAAGACAATCTCACAGGTGTGGCATATCAAGGTGCTGATTAGACAACATTTATTTCAGCTACAGTTCTTTATTCAACATCATAAAATATTCCAAAAGTACTGGACTATAACAAACTTTAATATAATTTTACTACACATAATAAATCTACTAATAATATTAAATAATATATTTTTAAATTATTAATGAATCTTTTATTATTTATAATTTATTTATAATAGAAGCTGGTAAACGTTTTGTTAGAATTGATGCTTCTCATTAATTTAAAAAATCTTAAATACAAATTAATGTTTCCATTTCATTATTTAAAACGTTTTAATCAGTTGTGGTGCAAATTAGATTTGTGGTGCAAGACTATTGTTGAAAACTCTACAAATAACCACCAGAGAGAAGTAAAATACCAACGTCAGAACAGAGACAAAGATGAATTAAACACAAGATAATCACCTGCTTCTACCAAAAACGGCGTTTGGGGCTTCTAGTTTCTTTTTGAATAGTTCTATTTAAATTAACCTTTTGATGCATGAATTATGAGATCTTCAACCATGATTTTTTAACAAGTTGTTTCATTCATCTTTAGGTGTGAATGAAACAAATTTCATATTTACATATTTTTGGTAACATTAAATTTACTAAAAATTTATGTCCACCTCATGTCATTCTGAACATTAAACATGTTGGCTTGACTTGCTGAAGTCCAAATGGAGGGGCTCGAATGCAATAAAGTCTTCAACAGATGTGCTTAATAGCAAAAATAAATAAATAACAATTTGGAGTACCTGTCCACTGTAGTGACCATGATGCATCAAAGGGTTAAAAACTTTACCTGTTTAAGGTTTTTCTAACACTTACTGAAATCTGATAAAAAACAATAAGAAATCACCAGAGGAGAGAAAGCAAAGGTAGAAATAACCATCTGTTCGTTCTTCTCCAATATAGATCACACACACTCACACACACATGAGAACTCAGGAAGGCTGCAGCCAGGATTCAAACTTGCAAATGTAATTATAATTTTGATCCCTTTGAAAGTTCTAGTAAAAACAAAAAAAAAGCTTTATTTCACATCGGATTTTTAAAAAGTTAATTCTCCACCCTTCAAACCAGATCTCAAATGGTTTTTTGTTTTCATACACTTGGTACTTTGGACAGAGGCCCTTGTGCTTTAACTTGTATTTGGAGCCACTTTATTTTGCGTATTCCATGACAACTCGATCGGTTTGGGTAGAGGAACATTTATGGAATTTTTACACCCACTAATGGGTACATTACAGTAATTTGGGTACACGTTAAGAGAAAAACATCCCAGGATGAGAGTGGCTGGTTTTTTTAGGGGAGAATTTAGTTTTACTACTTATTCTCCAGTATACTTGGACTTTTACTGAATAAGTTAACAAAAGCTACTGTCATCACCCACAACATTCCCATCACCTTCTCAGGTGGGATCATCAGTCATAGCTAGGTTTGTGTGTGTGTGAGATCGGACTTTGGAGAATATATTTATGATATTATTGTTGTTTTTTGTTATTTAACGTTATTTTATTGTGCTTATCTCTCGTTCTTCTGCACCAAGTACCGTAGCAATTTCCTGCTGTTGAGATTTTTCACACATTTGGCAATAAAACCCTTCTGATTCTGGAAACTCGTTATAACTGAAGACAACACAAGAAAAATTAAATATATTTATTTCTGATGAAGCAAGCTTAGAACTCAAAAATAAAATACACGACCATTACACTGTGAAAAACAACGATAGCTTAGATAATCTGTCAGCGGTTTGTGAGACATAAAATTTGGTCCTGGGATAAAGCAGACGGTAAAAAATAAAACCAGCAAACCAGCTGAACGTGGTTCTTCTGTCGTAGCTTATATGAGGTCTGTTTAAAGCACTTCAAGTCTGAGGATTGAGAGCCTTCAACAACTAAAATACAAAGCCACGTGTGTAAAAACTAAACAGGTAAAGCGGCTTGAGACACAGAACAGCTCACTGCGCTACATCATTTAGATCCTTCGACATGTTGCTGGAATGTAGCCAGACTACGTCCTGTCAGTGGCTTTTACTTCATGTAAACATTAACGATCTAGTTTTACTTGTGAAGAAGCATTACACACGGCGTGCTGTTAGGGGCGGCCTGCAGAAGTTTCACCGTTTCTTTGCAATGAGCACACCGAGCAGCACCCCTGACAGCAGCAGCACTCCTGCTAACAGCCACTTCTTCAGGGTCTCCTGGAACCTCCTTGCCTCTGCCGCAGCTCCTCGCCCATAAATCTCTGCAAAACAGTCCTGCAAACCAACAGACAGAACAGCAGAGACGGTGACTGCACCTGTGACACATCGTTATTTTACTGCTCAGAAACAGGAATCTCTGCTTTAATTAAACAAAAGTTCAAATGTGTTAAAGTGTACTCTAGCACTCGCCTTAGGAACCCTATTTGATTTAAAATGTGTTTTGTAAAGGAGGTTCCAGGTGACCTGGCCCATCTGCACTCACCCATCCTCCTTGGCTGCTGATCCACAGCCCGATGTGATCATCCAGGTAGGTGGTCATCCAGTCTGCAATGCGGGGAACCAGCTCGCTTAAATTCCTCTCCTTACACTGCACACACAGCAACCCCCCAAAGACAAAGAGGCCCACCACCCGTCCCCAGTTTACCCCATCTCTGAACAGCTCGTCCAGCACGCTCTTGAAGCTGTGGTAGGCCGTGTCTGGCGTGATATCGAGCTGCAGGGAAAGGTGACTAAAACTCTGTGCGTATAAAAGTTCAAACTCATCTGCTGAGTCCTTTAGAGCTGATTTCACTGCCTCCATGCCACCACGGGGGGCACAAGTCTTCCCTGGTGGGCTGTCCCTGCTGCTGACCAGCCGGCCATTGCTAGCAGCTGAATTGTCCCAGTCCTCCCGAGTCTTCTTACCCCCATCCTCTGGCCCCAGCAGAGACATGGGACAGTTCCTTTGGGACAACTTGTAGCTGATGTAGTACTCCACCAGCTCTCTGTTACTGTGTGGCATACTTTCTTATTGGGTCCTTCAGCCTATTTAAACCCCATGATTCTTTAGAGCGTTCCTCTGGTTCGGTCAGGTGTCAGGTTGTGATGCTGCATGCAACAACAACCTAAAGGCACAGAGAAACAAGGCCACCATTAAGCAGCCAGCAGGGTTACAGCATCCATCACTTGTGCATGTGTGGCTCCTGCTGACCAGGAATCAGCTGATTCGCCCTCTTTGGGTTTTACATACATTCTACAGGACACAAGGCTGGATGGAGACTATAACTTGCAGACTTAACCTAAAATACATCAATCAGCAGCTGCTCACCATTACAAAGTCCAGTAACATTAAGTAATCCTTATTTTCGTACCTGATATGCGAGTCTAGAAGCCCATTTTCCATCGCGACCACCTCCAGCTACAAGTTACGTAGTTTCACTGTTAGCCTCACATGCTAACTAGAAGCTAAACTGTCACAATAAACGCACTAATAAGTACGAAGTGCACGAATAATCTTAAGTCTCACATAATTGTTTACGACAGCCGTACTTACCGCTGGTATGAAGTTTAAATTGTAGGTAAGTACGCGGCTACAGAGATAAGATGTAGACGGGACCGTAAACACATCAACATTTTCGCAGCTGTACTGTGGCCCGCATCGTGATGCCCGTTGGTAGCTGGCCAATAGCGAAACAGATCCGTACAACTGACCCGCCCTCACAAGCTTCTGCACCAATCAGCGACTAAGCTGAACCGGAAGTTCAGAAATCAAATATAACGTATTGAAAAACGACTGAACGCTCCCCGCTTTGGTTGTATTGCATGAATGAGTTTTTGAAGGCCTTCTTCCGTTTGCGTGTAATATCTAACGTACGTTATTTGTTTAGGTATTGTAATTAATAAAAACATTTTCGTTGATTTAATGATAATTCCTTGGAAATATGGTCATTGTAATTTAGTTACTCAAGGCTACTCAAAATGTCTTACCCTTCAAGTAAAATGTGTAATCAGAACCAAATGTTTGTTTCAAGTCAGCCCTTTTCGCTCATGCAGAAGGGTGGAAGGAAAAGCAAGCAAAAAACACAGACCTTAAGCTTTGTACTTTAATTACGTCTGGAAAAAAGGTTTGAAAGAAGTTCTGTGAGACCTGGCAAAAACTTGTTCAAATCAAACAGCTTTTTAAGAAACATTTTATTCAAATATGCAAATAAATGACATATTTTACACAATCTAAGTCTGAAACAACACAAAAGGCTAGTGATATCTGTGTAGAGATCAACAGAAATAGGTAAACTGGTATAACCATTTCAGATCATGTGACAAATATGCAGCAAATAATAAGCAAATGTAAAGAAACTAGCACTATAGACAACAAAAACTATGGCCTATACATACACATTGCCACAAATAAAATGCATCATTATATTTTCTTTTTTCCAACACAAGCTGGGGGGTGCAGCATTAGGAAAATGTTAGCTTTTGTGACCCATGTTATTTGACTAAATAGTTGTGCACATGTATGAACCAGAACCATTTGTCTTGGTAGGTTTTCTTATTTAATACAACGCTGTTCATCAACATAAACCCCACAAATGGACGAGGGACTAACACGATGCCATGCAGACATTTTCTTTCCCGTCTTGACAAGAGCCCGTCTCTGTTGAACGATCATCTGAGTCTGTGTGTTTCATCTCGTCTAGCAGGATTTCTTGGTCTTTGAACTGCACTCTCTCATCAGTTGGTGAAATTAAAACATTTTCCTGTTCCTCTTGATAGGAGATTCCAGTTGAAGAATCATCTGTCTCCATGTTCATCTCATCTGTCATGATTTCTTGGTCTTTGGATTCCACATTCTCATCAGTGGGAGCCATGAAGGCATTTCCTTTTCCTTCATCACAAGAGATTGTCTTTGCTGAAGGATTATTTGTGTCTTCTTTAGTCTTCTTGGTCAGATTTTCTTCATCCAAGGATTCCCCATTCTCAGCAAGTGGTGCCATGAATTCATTTTCGTCTTCCTGACAAGAGATCACTTTTCCCCCCAGGATGTCTTCATCATTTGACTCCACAGTCTCAGTAATTTGGACCACATGGATGTTTTCTTCTTTTTCTAGACAAGAGCTCGTCTCAGTTACAGGATCATTTGTGTTTTTGGTCAGATCTTCTTGATCCAAGGATTCCCCATTCTCAGCAAGTGGTGCCATGAATTCATTTTCGTCTTCCTGACAAGAGATCACCATGGTAGACAGATCGGTTGTATCTATAACTGTTTTTTCCCCCAGGATGTCTTGATCATTTGACTCCACAGTCTCAGTAATTTGGACCACATGGATGTTTTCTTCTTTTTCTAGACAAGAGCTTGTCTCAGTTACAGGATCATTTGTGTTTTTGGTCAGATCTTCTTGATCCAAGGATTCTCCATTCTCAGAAAGTGGTGCCATTAAGTCATTTTCTTCTTCACAAGAACTTGTTTCTGTCGGGGGACCATTTGAGCCAATTGTTGTCTCCTCGGTCAGGTTGTCTGCGTTAGGATTAGGTTTCCCAGTTTCTTCGTCAGAGTCCGAGTCAATGGAAATGGTCTCCGGACATGTGTTGAGTTTCAGGGTGTTGTTTGGTTTGCAGTCAGTTGACTTGCCACTTGCTGAGCTCAAAGCAGAGTTGCCAAAACGTCTTTCATGGTCTATCTCCAGGTCATGTTTCAACTCATTTAGAGCATGCATGTTAAAGCCTAGTCGCACAGCAGGTTTCTTGAACTTAAAACTCCTAAAACAGATATTCCGCTTTGATACAAAATGGCCAGTAACCTCAGACCTCCACATCATCAGACTTTCAGACAGCTTTAGCTCTTCATCAGGATTTGGGTAAGGTCGTTCGTTGAAGTAACTTGTCAGGAACTTTTTCCTGGCCTCAAATGTCTTGACCTCATAACCTGTAGGATCCAGAACAAGGCCATCTATTTTGTGATTGCTTCCACAATCTTTGCTTGTCTTAGTCTTCTTGGGAGTGGGTGTGCTCTGTAGAGGCAGCTGCCTCTTGATGGCTGCAGGCGCAGGTGACTTCGGAGTCAAAGGAGACTTGAGGTTTTGGCTGACCTGGCTTCTGCCAACAGCTCTGCACTGTACAAGATGCAGTGTGATTGTGGATGCTACCATATTACTAGTGTACACCCCTAAACAATGGATGCATTTGTATGTCATCCTTTTTTCAACAGGATGCATGGTTTGAAGCACTTGATGTCGCTCCCTCAGGTGCATGCCCAAGACATCTGAGATGGTACCTTTGAGGATGGAGAAACAGAGTGGGCATACAGTCTTTCCACCACCGCTGTTGTGGAAAAGTGCAACCAAACTCTTTGGCTCAGTGTACTTGTTTACTATCTTGGCAGGAGGTGCTATGACAGGACGAGGGGGAGGAGCAGCATTTTGGGGGGCAGGTGTTGATTGATCTTGACCATTGACTGAATTCTTCATGTTAAAAGTGAGCACAGAAAGCTGAATGTTTCTGGACTGACCTTGTTTTATGGAAAGATCAAAGGTAAGAGGTGATGCGCCAACAGGCCCAACAAACTCACCAGGGTGGGTCTGAGCAACATGATCCACAATTTGATGAACACCGTGGAAAGAGGAATGGCACTGTGGACACGTTAAGCCGTGTGTTAGCATATGGTTAAGTAGTGTGCTACTGGGCAGATAGCGGTTGCAAAGCAAACACTTGCTGGTGAAGTTGTGGATTTTCATGATGTACTTGGCCAGTGCCCACACTTTCTTGGCCTTGTGAGCATTCTCAAAATGAGCACTGTAGAGGTTTTCAGGAAAAAGTTCATTGCAAACAGTGCATATCTTCCACTTTTGTGTTTGGGATGTGTTTACATTAGTCTGATTATTCTCAGCAACAGGGCTGTTGACAGCAGTAACGGCTAACGCCTGACTGCTTGGGACAGTGGGTGGATTCTCAACAACGGGGGCCACTGGCTTTAGATAGCCAATAACAGGCTGTGAAACTGCATCAGACAAGGGAGTGACACATTTGGCAACAGCCTGAGCGTTCTGATTCATTGTAGGTAGAGAATGGGGAACCGAGTTCAAAACATTAGCATGCCCAATCATATTTGTTACATGAGAACCAACTCGCTCATGAAACTCTAAAACGTGCTGCACTAGAGCCTCGTACATGCGAGTAGTGAACTGGCATTGCTTACAGTAGATGTTGCTTCCATTAACAGAGGAAGACCTACCTTTAACAGATTTATCAGAAGCCATACCAAGATACGGTGAGACAACATGCTGGAAATGCTCTCTGTAAATGTGTCTTTTAACAACATTGTAGAGAGAATCACGAAACGTGCACTTTTTGCAAAAGTACACAGATTTTAGAATTCTGTGTAAGGCATTTTTGCTTTTCGTTTGAGCTCCCAGCGCAGTGCCCTGTGACATCCCATAATTCTGCTGTCCTTGATTGGGTGCGTGGAATATTTTAACATGCACCTCCAGGGTTTTCTTGGTTGCCGTGAATGCACAGTAGGGACAGTTGAGAAGTAGTTTACCATCCAAGAGTTTTCGGTGTACATTACGAAAGTGATTTTTGTAGCCTGAGTAGAATTTGGAAGAAAACTGGCACTCTTGACAGCAAAATGGCTTGGATCGATATTCCTAAAAAACACCAAGGAAATTAATGATTAATTTAAGAAAATCATTTGATTTATATAATTCAACCAACACTTGGACCCAGAAATACAATTTACCTGTGTCTTTGAACATGATGGATCCCATGAGCAGATGTCAAATCCTTGAGTGCTCTTTACAACCTGTTCATCTGGACTAAACTCTTTGAATTCCTGTGGAATAAACAAAAGGAATAAAATAATTTAAAAGTAGGGCTGGACGATAAACCGAAAATTTATCATTGTCAAAATTAGCGGTGTAAGAAAACATCGATATGGCAATATATCGTTATACTTTTCCTAGCAATAATATATAAATATTCAAAAGCTGTGTATCAAAAAAACAGATATCGCAATATATTATGATATTTTTTCCTGTAACTTTGAGTTGGCCTCTCAAATCTGGTGCTGAGATCACTGAGGTGGTTAAAAAGCTCCTCTGTGGCAAGGCTCCAGGGGTGAATGAGATCCGCCCGGAGTTCCTTAAGGCTCTGGATGTTGTGGGGCTGTGTTGGCTGACACGGCTCTGCAATATCGCGTGGACATCGGGGGCAGTCCCACTGGACTGGCAGACCGGGGTGGTGGTTACCTTATTTAAAAAGGGGGACCGCAGGGTGTGTTCCAACTAGGGTTGTCACGGTAACCCGTGTAGCGGTAAACCCCGGTAAAAAAGTTGACAATAATTACCGTCTTGTTTAAAAAAATAAATAAAAAATCTCGGTGGATTACCGTGGCTACGGTGTAGGCGCTGTGACCCTTTCCAGCCACCGTATAATCTGCTGAAGTTGCCGGCGGCACATGTGCACTTTGTTGTTTACGACCAAAACTTTCTTGAAGCTAAAGCTGAAATAATGGCTAAAGGAGGAGACGGCAGCGCTCAGGACATTTATTATCCCTCAAAGAAGACAAAGTCGGAAGCATGGGCATTTTTTGGATATTTGAAGAATGGCGAGGGACAGTTGATAGAAGACGGCTATCCTGTTTGCAGCACGAGCAGAAAAAGTGTCTGTGAAAGGCAGCAATGCTTCAAATCTCATGACACATCTGCGGGACCATCACCCACAACTCTACAGTCAACGCAAGGCAAGCTAACGTTAGCGTTTTAGCTAAAATGCATGATCCGAGGATTTGGGTTGAGGGAGAATGCAACAAGTCGCTATATAAAGCAGCCGCAGCGCCGCTACCTGCATATAAACCGTGTTGCGGACACCCCCATGTTGAAATGACACTATGCATTACGGGGCTCCCAGGGCAGATAAGAGTTGGTCTCTCCAAGAATGATTATGAATTTACAAATGATTACTGCCTGATGACAGTTTCCCAAATCTGCAAAGCTCACTCTTATCCGGCTCTCAGAGAGTACAGACGCTTTTTCTTCAGCTCCCTTATCTGCTTTTCCCAAGGCTCTCTGTCCTGTCTGCCTACAGAGCACTTCTCTGCATTTCTCCTGAAAATCACTACTTCTTTTTGGAAAATGGACTTAATTAACTGGTCAATCAACGCGATTGATAAGATTTTTTCTACGATGAGAACGGAGAAGGGGGTTCCCACCTATCCTCAAGGGACATACGCAGCAGGATATGCACTCGATTCTTGGGAGGTCTGGCGAATCGTGTGCCTCTCTCAGTTGTCCATCGAGGAAGTGGAAGATTTGTGGATATTCGGCCCGATGATCACTGTATTTCTTCTGATTGGAGTGGGTGGATTTCTGGTTTTCTGGAAATTTGGGAAGACGGGAGCGATTGGAGTGCGACCCGTACCCACGGAATGTGCCGCCCGTGCGGTGACCTCTTAGACTGGGACGTTACTCGAGGTGAACCGTAAGCTGGACAATGTCCTCGCGGCGTTGCTTGTGTTAGTGCGCAAGATGGATGTCATCTCGGAGAGGGTCGCCGGACGGTATGGGGATGTTTAGAACGTATAATTGGCCTCACTGGTGGACATGAATGATCACTTAATGGACTCCAAGGCAGAGAGGAAATTATCTCTGTCTGCCCTAAACAAAGTCTTGTTTATCCTAATCTGACGCCAAGGCAGCCTCCAAAGCTGCCATCAACAAACCCCCACGGAAGGAGGAATGTAGACAGATGCTGTGACCCGACCTTCCCCCCTTGCCTTCAGATTGAGACTTCTGCTTCGAGGTCATCAACCTGCAGGAAATTCAATGTGCTCTCTGGCCCTCCTCTCTCCCTCCCACCTGTTTGACTGCAGCTGTGAGCGCCGTACACTGGCAGCTCCCGTTGGAGGATTCAGGATCCCCCCCCCCGATCGGAGTCTGATGTTGTAACTGTGGTGTTCGTGCTTCTATGTATGTTGAGGAGTTTTTTGTATAGTAGAGCTACTCCCTGCTGGGACTAACTCTGGTATGCCTTTTTTACCTTATCCCATTTATCCTCATGTAACACCCTTTTCATCTAATGAAATGAGCGCCGTTCTGGCTGCTCTCGTGGACTGCCTGTACCCGTTTTGTCTACATGTGTGTGTGTATAACCTTGGTCAGGTTGTGTTTGCGGAGTCAAGTTCCTATGCTCTGGGTCGCTGGAGCGCTGGCAATAAAGCTTATTCTGATTCTGGAAGGACACAAACCGAGGATGATATTTTCCTGATATAGTGTTTATTACTCAAGTAAGGGTAAAAAAAGGTATCCGATTAGAAGGCTACTTGAGTACTGAGTGTCATCGGATCTACTATTTTTTAAAATGATGACATCAAACAGACAAAAAATAAGAAGTTATGGGCAAATATTGGTATTTTAAAGACTAAAGGGGAAAAATGTAAACAAATAAACAACATAATTACAAAATAACAAATTTTAGGCAAACGTTAGGCATAAACCGAGGACAATATTTTCCTGATATACTGTTTTTTTTGAAAATGTAATACGTTAAAAAAAATACAGCGATAATACCGAAAACCGTGATAATTTTGGTCACAATAACCGTGAGGTTAAATTTTCACACCATGATAACCCTAATTCCAACTACAGGGGAATCACACTCCTGAGCCTTCCTGGTAAGGTCTATTCAGGGGTTCTGGAGAGGAGGGTCCATCGGATTGTTGAACCTCAGATTCAGGAGGAGCAATGTGGTTTTCTTCCTGGCCGTGGAACACTGAACCAGCTCTATATCCTTAGGGGGATCCTGAGGGTGCGTGGGAATTTGCCCAACCAGTCTACTTGTGTTTCGTGGTTCTAGAGAAGGCGTTTGACTGCGTCCCTCGGGGGGCCCTGTGGGGGGTACTCCGGGAGTATGGGGTACCAGGCCCTCTGATACAGACTGTTAGGTCCCTGTATGACCGGTGTCAGAGCTTGGTCCGCATTTCCGGCAGTAAGTCTGGCTCGTTCCCAGTGAGAGTTGGACACTGCCAAGGCTGCCCTTTGTCACTGATTCTGTTCATAACCTTTATGGAAAGGATTTCTAGGTGCAGCCAAGGTGTGGAGGGCATCCGTTTTGGTGGCCTGAGGATCAGGTCTCTGCTTTTTGCAGATGATGTGGTCCTGTTGGCTTCATCAGAACGTGATCTTCAGCTTTCGCTGGAGCGGTTCGCAGCCGAGTGTGAAGCAGCTGGGATGAGAATCAGCTCCTCTAAATGTGAGACCATGGTCTTGATTTGGAAAAGAGTAGAATGCCTTGTCCGGGTCAGGGATGAGGTCCTGCCCCAAGTGTAGGAGTTTAAGTATCTCGGGGTCTTGTTCACGAGTGAGGGAAAACTGGAGCGTGAGATCGATAGGCGGATTGGTGCTGCATCTGCAGTGATGCGGGCGTTGTACCAGTCTGTCGTGGTGAAGAGAGAGCTGAGTCAGAAGGCAAAGCTCTCGATTTACCAGTCGATCTACGTTCCTACCCTCACCTATGGTCACGAGCTTTGGGTAGTGACCGAAAGAACGAGATTGCAGATACAAGCGGCCAAAATGAGTTTTCTCCGAAGAGTGGCTGGGCTTTCCCTTAGAGATAGGGTGAGAAGCTTCATCCGGGAGGGGCTCAGAGTAGACCCGCCGCTCCTCCACATCGAGAGGAGCCAGTTGAGGTGGCTCGAGCATCTGGTCAGGATGCTTCCTGGACGCCTCCCTGGTGAGGTTTACCGTGCACGGCCAACCGGGAGGGGACCTAAATGTAGACCCAGGACACGATGGAGGGACTATGTCTCTCACCTGGCCAGGGAACGCCTTGGGACTCCCCTGGAGGAGCTGGCCCAAGGGGCTGGGGAGAGGGAAGTCTAGGCCTCTCGCCTTAGGATACTAATTTTCCTATAATAGATTTGGTCTAAAAAAATCATATCATCTGGCTGAATGTATTGCAATATTTCGTGATAAATCTTATCGTCTACCCCGTATCGTGATATGTATCGTATTGCCACAATTTCACCAATACACATCCCTAATCAAAATGTATGCCCCTACCAGCGTCATTTTTCTCATATCTGCAAATTTATCCATCCCTCCACTCTCTTCTGCTAATACGAAGTTGTGTCGTGGAGATAACAGCCTAAGTCGAGAGGCCCAGACTTCTCTCACCCCAGCCACTTGGCCAGCTCTTCCAGGGAAATCCCAAGGCGTTCCCTGGCCAGCGAGACATATAGGTCTTTACCATCACCCATACTAGCATAGAATGGGAAGAATCGGGTCGCTAATTTTTCTGCTTTTCTGTAAAACCGGTCCAGACAATCTACCCGGACCGCGCCAATCACGGGACTTTTTTGGCTTACTTCTGTTGTAGGTCCAGAAATTCTGGAGAGGTACGGTTAGGATGGAGCAACAACACAGTCCACTGATTGGTTGACAGAAATATGTCACTACTTGCAACAAGCAAAACAGAGTTCTGTTGTATTTTTGTTAGCTGTACATAAGTGTGAAAAAATGTGAGCAAGTTTTGGTCACCTTCAGATTTCCATACATTTCTCATCATCATTGTGAGAGTCCACAGGAGGAGCTAGACGGATAGGCAGTTTTTATCCTCATGGATGGCAGCTGAAAAGGGCTTTGGGGTATTTCTTATGAGGAAATACAATATAACACGGTAAAAGAAATTCAAAAAGTTTGATTTTAATTATATGGAAACTTTTACAAAAACTGTTCAATTAACCTCTCAACTCTGTCCTCAATCTTGCATTTTAGATGATATTAGCCATTTCACCCTCTTCGATTCCAGAATGCTGTTAAGTCTGACAAATGGAAGAAATTGGACTGACTCTGATGGAATGGGCGGGGCTGACTCTGGTGCAGCTCTGCCTTTGTGGTTCTGAAGCGAGCACTACTTGGGGCAAAGGTTACTATGTGACGTAGAAGACGCTGGCTTTTCCTGACCTGATCATTTCCCTGTCTGTTTCCTTCTGTATTCTAATCCAGGAAAGAGGGCTTGAAGAAAATATTCATGTTTCAGCATGCAAGTGAATCTTAGAATGACCATTGTATTTCAAAAAGAACAAGTATTATACTGTTTCTCAATGAACCAAACCTCTTAAATTAAATATAATATGATGATATTTATGTTTGGTAATGCATGTTTTTCCTCATATTCACTAAGTAGTATTAACAACATGTGTGTAAAGTAGGGTTGCAACGATTACAAATTTTGGTGGTACGATTATAGTCTGAGGAATAATCACGGTTTCACAATTACCACGACTATTTTACATGAATTAATTTCATATCTGTATTAACATATATAAATCACACACACATTCTATAAATTACTGATAAAAGACATGATTACATAATGGTTTTGAACCCCTGAAATATGCAGTCACAAACTTTGGTTGGTTTGTTTACCTAAAGTGACAAACAGGGCTGCAACAAACATTTATTTGGATCATCAATGAATCGGATGGGGTCTCGACTCAATCGGATTAAACGGGAACATTTAAAACTGCTTGGGAACGATTTTTCTCTCCTTCCTTTACTTTATTTAACAACAGAACATAATTAGAAAAGTTCAGTCCCGTGAAAAACAACATGCTATCATCTAAATATATCCATAATTAAACTATAATCAGTAAAATTGTATGTATTTCATTAACATGTTCAGTAAGCTACTGGAAATGTTAATAATATTTAATTTCTACTGCTTAAAATGTTATGTGACATATGTAGGGTTACAATAACCCAGTTTAAATGATGTTCACAAATAGACGCGTTTGCGAGTTACATGTTACAGTGGCTTGCCAAAATCCTACAGCGGTGTTTAGCCGAGCAGACTCGTACCCGACAGCAACGGTTCTGCTGCATAGTGCTGCAGACAGCTAAGAATAAACAGAATGATGAGGACTTTTCTTCCGTGTGAAGAGTTTAGATTTTCTTGGTTTCACGACCATCATGTTTTTTCGGAACCCCACTTGATCGTGAGCCTGCTGCCCGCTAGCATTAACTATAGTTGCGCTTTTATCCCAGACCGTTTCTGCCTTTGTGTCTTTGCTGGTTTCTCTGTTTTCCTCCACACCACCTAGATTCTCACATTGTGCGTCAGCAAGCATCTTACTGTTCTAAGTGTGTCGTTCCTCATCAAAACACCGGCTTTCTCTCGTTCTGATTCTGCCTCGGTCTGCTCTGTTGCCTCTTACACATGAGATGTGCGCATTGACTGTTAAACAATGGTTGCGCAACACAAAAAACGTTGCACAACACAACGAATCGATGACGAAATGTGTTGCCAACGCATCTTTTCATTGATTTTTATCGATTTGTTGTTGCAGCTCTAAACAAGAACAAGGTTTGTTCAGGCCAGGACGTTTACAACACAAGAAACTCAAGTGCAGAACTGCTGGTAAGTTTTTATTTGTCCTTGTGCATACTTTCCTACCCCCACCTACTAATATGCGACCAGTCACACAATAATTTTTGTACACCACATGAGAGAAAGCTGTCCTGATTATGTGTTGAGAGCAAGCTGCATGAACTCCCAAAGCAGGTCCACTAGAAAAACATGACCCGAGGGGGAACAGTTCCTGCAGACTATTCATCAGTCTTAACTGCTCCACCTACTGGGGCTCCAGAACTGCTGCCTCTGGATGGTTAAACCTGATCTTATTGGCTACAATTAGCACAAACCATAAATTTCCAAGACCATTTACTCTGCATTTGTTTTTCAGTGTATTCGTTATTCATAAGAAATCAGATTAAGACAAAAATAACTGTAACAGTCCTTGTTGAACAGCTATATTGAACCAGTCTTAAATCATGACAGTACTGCTAAAACTTTGTAAATAAAAATAAGGTTTATTTATGCAACACCCATCACTAGAATAAACAATGCTGTTCCTTAAAAGGCAACAGTGTGATGTGCTTCACCATGCTTCTTTATATTTAGGAGAAAGTTGTGCAATTCAAATGTAACAGCGCCACCTAGAGACACAGTCTTTGCTGGCAACACGTCTCTACTTCAGTCGTTCCCGATCCTGATCCAGGGGCCCGGTATCCAGCATATACCCAGCCCTGGACCAGGATCGAGAACCACTGCTCTACGTTAAAAACAGTGGAACACAAAACAATCAAACACACTCACCTCTGCTGCCTCCTTGCAGAACTCGAGCCCTATGTCTTCGAGAGCTCTCTTCACTTTCTTTCTGGCTTTCCTGATTCTTGGGAGGTTATTCACCGGGAGCTGGAACATTTCTCCTGATAAAACAGAACATAAGTTCACAAGATGAAACCTCCGCTTCAAAATAAGATCTAATGAATCAATATTGTTCATCTCTCCAAGTGCTTTAGCGTGGGATAGCGGCACGTTTATACTTGCAGTAAAACAGAAGCCTTAATCAATGCAGATCCAGCACTGGGTGCCTTTGCGTTGAGTTTTTTGTTACCTATAACTGAGTGCTAGTTTGATTTGATTCCGAGACCAGAACATTACAAGAACGTTCTGAATTATCTCCATGAGCCTTTAATGGAGCATCACGTTAGCTTCTGAAGCTAGTGCTAGCGTGTCTGAGCCCAGGCAGCAGCATGGTCGTTACACAGTAACAACGCTACTGCCACAGTTCTATTGTGTCTAATATGGTCAAACAAGGCATTTTACTTACCTTACAACAGACCGACACGACCAGTCAGTCGGCCTGTCTCACTGACATATATGACTAAAAAGAAGTGAAACGTATGATCAGGACGTGAAGACCGGGGGTGTTCGTTCTCCTCGGCGCCGGGAAGCTAACGCTGCGCAGCTAGCCAACTAAGAGCTAGCTGGTTCGTAAGTTATCTATTTGGCTGCGCAGCTGTCGCTGTCTAGGCCAGGAAAACAGCTGGCAGTGATGCACGTATTATAAACACATCACATTCGATACTAGCAAATGCCAGAGGCACCTATTGTCCCCTAGATCCCACGAACCCGCTCCCGCGCTGAGATCCGCTACGTTTGTAAGCTAAACAAAATGGCGTTCACAAAAAGACGGAAGTGGTGGTGATGTGGTGCTGAGACTGGACACAGTGGTTGTAAATAGTTGAGATTTATTAGGTTTAATTCACTTTACTAAACACAAATAGCAGTGTACTTTGATTTTGTCGAACTAAATCAAAAACTACATGACAAAACAAGCACATATTTTCTGCTCCTGGATACAATTTTAGATAAATGATTCCCAGTTGTTGCAACTTATGATGTTGACAACAATTTTTCAGTTCCTTTGATTCAGTTGTTTGAATTCCAGTTGTTCCATAACTTCCAGTACAACAACACGAGGTCCTGCCATCACCAGTCTGGTTACTGTCGTCCAGGTAAGGACACACCGTCCGTTCACCTTGCACACAAACTGTCATATCTAAAGGACATTTTCACACAGACAACATGGATTACCCAAATCTGTTCTTTAATCTTTAATTTTCAGGAATAATTTCAGGCAACTTTAACTTAATTTCACCTTCACTCCAGCAGCTGCTGCGGGACTTCCTGGGTCAACAGCCTGTACATAACAGGGAGCCATCCCTCTGACCACTATTCCCCAACCCCGATCATCCCCGATTACCCGTGGTTGTGGTAAAACAAAGCATGCTTCAGACTTGGGATGCTATGGTTTACAATAGTCTAGTTCCCAACCTGGGGTCAGCACCCTCCGTAAGGGGGCCCCCACAAGGCTGCAGGTGGGCCCAGAATTTGGTCTGTGCTGAAGTTGTGAGGTTAACAAGAAATTTGTAAAATTTACATTTATAAAATCCCAATAACATACCAAAAAGAGTAATCAAAACTCAGTCGAAGGGTTGTAACTCTGTATGTCTGTTTAAAATTTGTAATAATCACTTTTATGTGATTGTTTATGTGCCGGTAGGAGTTGGGGTTGGGGGTTCTGCCTTGTCGTGGACACAGGCAAGGCATTCCAAAAGGATAAAAGGTTAGGAACCACTGGTTTACAAGAATAAGCGCACAAACTTCAGGTTTTCAGGGACTAATTTTAGGCTTATACTACATGTTTCAGGACCAGGCATAAGTTTACCATGTGATAACTCACAGTGAGTACTTTTTTGATGAAGAGGGCACCAGGTGCCAATAGTTCTTCACATGTGACATGTCTTTTTAGAACTGTAGGACAAAATAAAGCACATGCACCCCTCTTACAAAGCTTCTCTCTTGACCATTAACAACTTGCAGGAATTGAAAATTGTGAACCCACTTACCTGATTTGGATTTAGATCTCACTAACACGTTTGAAAATGGTGGAAATCCCCCAGAATGAGGCTGAAGGCAATTCAAGATGGCTCTGCGACCATATGTGACCGTTTTTTTGTTTTTACTGGAGCCCATAGTGAGATTAGTTAAAATGGTATTGATCCAGCACAACAAAATGGGTTTTGCAAAAGCAGCTACAAAGAATTATTTTTACCAGTCTCAAAGGCACTGTTTGGCTCCTACAACGAGTCTTTGCATAGAACAAAGGGACTGTCAAGGTTGTTGTCTTCTGTGGTTGATGCCACCACACTGTCATCACTGTCTTGCCCATTGTTATATTGTAGTTCAGATAGGTATCGGCAGCAACGGTAGTTGATACAAAACTGATAGAGCAGGCCACTGTCAAATAAGTTATGTTTCTTTGCCACTGTTGGAGGAAAACGAAAACAGCACATAACCAGACTGGAACGTGTCCTAGAACAAATGTAATTGTTTGCTACAAGGTATTGCATGAATTTGCTTTTGATTGCAAGATTCCCAGATGCCTCCCCATTGGTGCCAGATGTGTGTGTGTGTGTGTGTGTGTGTGTGGGGGGGGGGGGGGGGGGGTTAATAAATCTAAAGGAAGACCAGTGCTCCCATACCGTGTTGAATGATGCCATGCTCCTGCAATGTGCTGCACAGCTCCACTCCCTGACTCCGGCTTTCAACCTCTCCATTTTGAAGGAGCCAGTCGATCAGCTGACAGGCAGGAAAACAGCGCTGGTATGAAATCCCATGCTCCTCCTTTAGCTGCAGGATTGTGTTTTTTCCATTATAAGACTGAAAAAACAGATAATCATTTTAGGAAACCCATTTCCCAAAAAGTGCTAATGACTTGAGGAAAAGCCGTGTTGTGTCATGACACTCAAAATGTCATGATGCCAAACCACTTTGGCAAAACAATGGCTTGTGATATAAATTGGGCATCTTGGCAAGGCACCTTCTGTCCTACTTAACTGGAAACATTCAGCGGTCCCTGGTGTCAACTGTAAAGTAATGCATTAAACATGATTTCACAGCTACATGTTGCTATTTTATATCTCAGCATGAAGCCTGAGTTATCCTCTCATGAATATATAAATGAGGTGGAGGACTTTAACCTAACTTTAGTAACTTTATAGTAAAGTCAGAAATAAAGATTTATAATTAAATTCAAATCTGACCATCAAAGCAACTCTGAGATGTTATATAGGGGATCTCTCCAGTCCACTTTTATTTTGGCATACTCCACCCACTTTATGCTAACTTAGATTTGCATAAAAAATTAGTTAACTAGTTTATTAGAGCTGTGAGGCAGCAGTGAGGTGTGAGACAGCAGTGATATGTGACACAGCAGTGATGTGTGAGAAAGCAGTGAGGTGTGAGACAGAGTGATGTGTGAGAAAGCAGTGATGTGAGACAGCAGTGAAGTATGAGACAGCAATGATGTGTGAGACAGCAGTGATATGTGAGACAGCAGTGATGTGAGACAGCAATGAGGTGTGAGAAAGCAGTGAGGTGTGAGACAGAGTGATGTGTGAGAAAGCAGTGATGTGAGACAGCAGTGAAGTATGAGACAGCAGTGATGTGAGACAGCAATGATGTGTGAGACAGCAGTGATATGTGAGACAGCAATGATGGGTGGGACAGCAGTGAGGTGTGAGACAGCAGTGATGTGAGACATTAATGATGTGTGAGGCAGCAGTGATGTGTGAAACAGCAATTATATGTGAGACAGCAGTGATGTGTGAGACAGCAGTGATGTATGAGACAGCGGTGATGTGTGAGACAGCAGTGATGTGTGAGACAGCAGTGAGGTGAGACAGCAGTGAGTTGTAAGACAGCAGTGATGTGAGACAGTAGTGATATGTGAGACATCTGATGTATGAGACAGCAGTGATGTGTGAGACAGAATTGGTGTGAGACAGCAGTGAGGTGAGACAGCAGTGAGGTATAAGACAGCAGTGATGAGACAGCAATGAGGTATGAGACAGCAGTGATGTGAGACAGCAGTGATGTGTGAGACAGCAATGATGTGAGACAGCAGTGATATGTGAGACAGCAGTGATGTGTGAGACAGCAGTGAGGTGTGAGACAGGAGTGAGGTGAGACAGAAGTGATATGTGAGACAGCAGTGAGGTGTGAGACAGGAGTGATGTGAGACAACAGTGATATGTGAGACATCAGTGATGTGAGACAGCAGTGAAGTGAGACAGCAGTGATGTAAGACAGCACTGATGCGAGACTGCAGTGAAGTGTGAGACAGCAGTGAAGTGAGACAGCAGTGATGTAAGACAGCAGTGATGTGAGACAGCAGTGATGTGAGACAGCAGTGATATGTGAGACAGCAGTGATGTGAGACAGCTGTGATGTGTGAGACAGCAGTGATGTGAGACAGCTGTGATGTGTGAGACAGCAGTGAAGTGAGACAGCAGTGATGTAAGACAGCAGTGATGTGAGACAGCAGTGATATGTGAGACAGCAGTGATGTGAGACAGCTGTGATGTGTGAGACAGCAGTGATGTAAGACAGCAGTGATGTGAGACAGCTGTGATGTGTGAGACAGCAGTGATGTAAGACAGCAGTGATGTGAGACAGCAGTGATGTGAGACAGCAGTGATATGTGAGACAGCAGTGATGTGAGACAGCTGTGATGTGTGAGACAGCAGTGATGTAAGACAGCAGTGATGTAAGACAGCAGTGATGTGAGACAGCAGTGATGTAAGACAGCTGTGATGTGTGAGACAGCAGTGATGTAAGACAGCAGTGATGTGAGACAGCAGTGATGTGAGACAGCTGTGATGTGTGAGACAGCAGTGATGTAAGACAGCAGTGATATGTGAGACAGCAGTGATGTGAGACAGCAGTGATGTGAGACAGCTGTGATGTGTGAGACAGCAGTGATGTGAGACAGCTGTGATGTTTGAGACAGCAGTGATGCGAGACTGCAGTGAAGTATGAGACAGCAGTGATGTAAGACAGCAGTGATGTGAGACAACTGTGATGTGTGAGACAGCAGTGATGTGAGACAGCAGTGATGTGAGACAACTGTGATGTGTGAGACAGCAGTGATGCGAGACTGCAGTGATGTAAGACAGCAGTGATGTGAGACAACTGTGATGTGTGAGACAGCAATGATGCGAGACTGCAGTGAAGTGTGAGACAGCAGTGAGGGGTGAAAGAGGTCGGACTGCATCGAGGATCGGCTCTGAACCCCTTCTTGCTTTGATGATGGACATGATGACAGAGGATGTAGACAGGAGCCTCAGTGGAATGAGATGTTTGCAGATGACAGTGATCTGTAGGGAGAGCAGGGCACACGTAAAGGAAAAGCCAGAGAGGTGGTGATACGGACTGTAGAGAAGAGAGGAATGAAGATTAGTCACAGCAACACAAAATACATGTAAATGAGAGGGACACAAGTGGAACGGTGATGTTACAGGGAGTAGAAGTAAAGAAGGTAGAGGACTTTACATACTTAGGGTCTACGGTACGAAGCATCGGAGAAGGTGGAAAAGAAGTGTGTGTAGCAGGTTGGAATGGGTGGAGAAAAGTTTCAGGTGTGATAGAAGAATTTCAGCAATGTATGTACGAGAGCAGCCATGTTGTCTGGTTAGAGACAGTGTCCTTGAGGGCAAGATAGGAGACAGAACTGGAGGGTCAGAAGGACAACTCATGTTAGATGTTCTGGATCTAAAGTCAGAGACGACAGACTGAGACAGTTTGGACCTGTCCAGAAGAAAGACAATGATGACATAGGTAGAAGGATGCTGAGGTTAGAGCCACCAGGCAGGAGGCTGAGACGAAGAACAACAAGGAGATTCATGGATGAGGTGAAAGAGGACATGGAGTTAGTTGGTGTGAGGGTAGAGGACTAAATGGAGACAAATGCATTTTAAAGGCATTTTATTCATTCATCTAAGATTTTGAGTTTCTGGAGGAATCTCTGTACACAAGGACAGTTCTCGTGTTTCTGATTTGGTGTTGCATTCAGGGTCGGGGCTCTAACCCTGGGAGCCACATCTGTGGGGCTGAAGGAGGTGTGGTCAGAATGAAATCACAAATTCTACTCAAATGGAAAGAAGTGACCAGAAAGACAGCTGTACCTATTGTGACATCGTGTGTTTTAGCCTATCTTTACGCGGTAGAAGGAGCGGTACCGTCGGTAAAAACAATCTCCAAACGAGCACAAACTTAAAGATAACAACTGTGGGGTGAAATACTTTACTTTTAATCAGGCCAGTTTTATGTTGTGGAAGGTCAGGCGTCAGAGATCTTACTTCTCATAAAGCCGTTGTCCTCGCATGAAGACGTTCACCTCAGTGCTGAATGGAAACGTGCCGTCTGTCATGTTCTGTGTCCCTTTGTTCCCCAGCTCCTTCAGTTCCCACTCCAGGTTCTCCTTTTGTGCTCTCTTAGCGCCCTCATGTGTCCGTTGTTGGCATTTCTGTTGTGTGTCTTAAGTTTACTTCTAGCCCTCTGTAGACTTCCCCAGGTGTCCTTCTAATCATTCCCCATTCCTAATCATTCTTTATTCAGCCCTCCTCATCCGTCCGGTTATTAGTTGTTTGTTTTTGGCCCTCAGGCTTTAGGTTTGGTTTTGTGTTAATGTTTATCTGCCCTCTGGTCAAGCTCCTTCCCTTCCCATTTTGTTAATTGATTCCACCTGTTTTTCCTCAGCTCACACTCCTCTCACCTGTCACCTGTTTCCCTGATTACCTCCCTCCTGTTTATAAGCCTTGTCTTGTCACTCTGTGTTGGTCGGTCCATTGTTGCTGTCAGTGTGTTTGTAAGTTCTGTCAGTCGCGTGCCTCTGTGTAAAACCTGTGTTTTTTTTCTCATTTCCAGTACTCTATCTGGTTTTTGGATTTTGGCTCCCAGCCTTGGATTAACTTTTGGTTTTTGGCTCACCTTAAAATAAAGTATTTTTACTTAACCTTCATCCCTGCCTCGTGTCATCCTGGGTTTCTGCAATTTGGTTTCTACCATCCCTCCGAATCGTGGCACCGTCATCCTAACGAAAACGATACAGCAGAGATGCATCCTTGAAATCTGGCCTCTTGTCACAAACCAAAACAACAAGATGCTTTATGAAAACATGACTTGTTTACCTCCTACCGGTCTCTGATTAGTGTGTGTCATTTTATCTCACCGTGATGAACAATGTCGTGGTCCATGAGGTGCTGGATGAGGCACACAGCTGTTGCACAGGTCAGAAGCCTCCTCATGGCCCACCAGCCAGTCTACAAGCTCCTGAGCTACAACGCAGTTGGGATACGTGTGCAGGTAATACCGGAGGTCCTTGATCAGTTTCCCGCCGTGAAGTCTCAACCTTTAAGTGATGTTCACATCCATGATGAGCTTCAAGCTTCATGTTACCTTTGACCTTGAAGCCGTCTTCTCATACCCGAGTTGTTCTCCTGCAATCATAACTTCAGCCTTGTGCTGCTTAGCCATGGCTTTTCTCCTGGCGCTACTTGTTCTCTCCATGTTTGTTATGACAGAAGTGAAGAATAAATTAGGCTTACCCCCTAATAAGAATCCTTGTGTTTGCAAAACAGGCACAGAAACAAAGCAACATCACGATGAGGGAGCCATGTTGTGTATACACTTAAGAAAGGCAAAGATGTGAACGTTAAAACAGGCCATCTAATATGTTGTGTAGTGCACACAGAGACGTTTACATGTTTGTCAAACAGCGTACATCTTAAAACGGTTACGCTTTAATCAGAAACAAAGAAATGCACCATGGCGGTGGTTGCAGCATGAACTAGAGAGCAAAAGACCCTCTGAGGTGTCTGTGGTTGTACAGGAAGCCCTGCTGGTATGCAGTGTCCCATTAGCAGTGGATGTGCCTGCACAACATTGTGAAGGTTGTTATGTGATTATCTGGCAACAGAAAACCTGAAAAACGTGCAGCCAAGGTTTTCTTCTGTGCAACAAACCCACCAGATGACACAATATGTTATTCAACAGAGTCTTTTGAAAATTACAATTGTGCATTCCTCTGGTTGTTTCTAAATCCTGCAGCCAGCTCAACCTTACAACCAGATCTGTAACAGGATGGATTCCTTGGTGCAGGCGAGCTGCAGCCTTTTGATGTCATTCTTGTGCATAAACACTCCGGTACACAGTGACACTTGTGCATTACTCTGAAGCTGCAGCTATCCTCTCTGATCTAAAGCTGGTTTGTGTCTCTAAAAGAACTTCACCCAGTCATGCAATTCCCAAAACAGAAAAGCGACTGAGACCAGGCACTGATGCGGTCACCTCAGGCCACACGTGTAGCTAGAACTAGTCGCTGCTGTTCCTCGTGATTTCTGCTGCTTTAAGGCACAATATGCACAAGGGCTTCAGCTGTTTGTGTCTACAATGCAAGTGAACACTCACAAAGACGAGAAGTAAAAGAATCACAACAAAAGAGGCTGTTTGTAAACATAGGAGGAAAACAAACACAAGGTTCTTTATTTTTCTTGCGTGCATGCAAGTGAAACACTTTTCATAAGTTAAGTAGAGAATGAAGTCAAAAAACCTGAAAATAAATAAACATGTCAAAATGAAAATTCAACAAGCAACATTTACAGCCATCAGGTGGGTAGAATAATGCGTGTGTGTGTGTGTGTGTGTGTGTGTGTGTGTGTGTGTGTTCATAAATAAACCTTCCCTGCTGCAGATAACTCTGAATAACCTCAGTTTGGAGGAACAGAGAAAAGCTTTGATTCATCTGAATTCTGTTTGATAAACATTTACACGAACATAAACTTTACATCATTATCCACCTTTAATCTTCTGGCTGTGTTCAAGAGAAAAAGACGAAATGTTTGACAAATGTCTGAAATCACATTTACATGAACAAGTATGCAACTTTAGGGGTTGCAATCGTTCTAAAACGATTTAAAATGGCACTGATATGACTAGTTATTAGTCGTGCGGCTGCTCAAAGAGCTTTCTATAACAGCTTGCTCTTTAATGCTCCGCAGAAACACAGTATGCGTTTCTTTTGTATTATAATTATTTTCTACACCCGGTCTTTTACACCAACACTGAAACAGTCACGTGCTAATAAACATTAGATGTCGCCCTGATGTACTGGTAGAGGAGCCTGGGGAGGGAGGATTCAGCCTGACCAGCCAGCTCCACGTTCTTTATGGGAGGCAATGGTTCTATGTCAGAGGTCCTTCCTGCAGAGTGGACCTGTGGCCACAGGGTGTCAGTATTTAGCTGCATTTACCAGGAGAGAGAGAGAGAGAGAGAGAGAGAGAGAGAGAGAGAGAGAGAGAGAGAGAGAGAGAGAGAGAGAGAGAGAGATACATAGATAGAAAGATAGAACTTGACTGAAATGAAAATGGAGCTTTTCTTGTAAATAAAAATTGTTTACAAAATAAAAGTTATTTCTTCGTTTATTTATGACATATAGAAACAACATTAAAACTATATTTATTTTCCATAAATGACTGAATATCGCTAAAGTTTATTTTATTTTTCATGTAGGACTAAAGCCTCTTCATCTGGTCCCGGTGAAATAACAGACACGCTCCTGCTACAGACCAGCAGGTTTTAGATGATTTCTTTCTTTTTTTTTTTTTTTTTTTTTTTTTTTTTTACTTCAGTTCAGATACGAGCAGCTCTTTTGCAAATCCTCCACCGGCTCCGCGTGCTTCCATTGGATGGCGAGGTGGAGGTGTAGTCCGGAAGGCGTGGCATCCTGCCAGCTCTGCCTTATGAAGGAAAGTGCGCTTCTTCTGACCGGACAGAGGTGCGTCCAAGATCTCCGAGTCACCTCGGTGTTCTGGGTCCTTAGCCCGAGCCAGCGGCGCAGACACGCAGCTCTGTTCAGGAGGAAGCTAAAGGTGTTTTTCAACAATATCTGCACTTTGAGAGCTAAATCAAAGTCTGGACCTGCTGACCTTTTTCGTCCGAGAGAGTGCGGTTTGACTAACTGCATGAAAACCCAGCGGGCATCTGCGGCTCTCTGACCAGTTGCTTTTGTTGGCACGTGACCGCTGAGACGCATCTGGGGCTGCAGAACTCCCCATGGATTTTGTTGGCGACTTTGACTTGATGAAGTTTGGCGTGAAAAAGGAGACGATGCAGTGCCTGGACAGATCCTTCATAGGGCCATGCGGCCCGCTCCAGAGACCCGACTCCGTCTCCTCCACCCCTGGCAGCACACCCTGCAACTCGGTACCATCGTCTCCAAACGTGGTCCCAAACGAGCAGAGGAACAACCCGGGGAACGACCAGTTCTGGATGCCCAGCGGGGGGTACCCTCATCAGATGTACCCTCAAGCTTTTGGCCTGACCCCCGAGGACGCCATGGAGGCCCTGATCGGTGCCACGACGCAGCAGGGACACCTACCTGCGCCCCACAACCAGCATCCGCAGGCTTTCCAGGCTGAGTACGAAGGGTACAGCCACCTAAACGAACCAGTCCAGCACTACCCGGGCCTTCCGGGTCACCCTGACATGCAGGGGATCCCCAACAGCCACTGCCAAGACCCCTATCTTAAAGATGAACTAGGGAGCGCGTCCCCAGAGTCGCCGGACGCAGAAGTTCTTGGTGCGCACCACCATCTCCAGCAGCCGCACAGCCGCCACGACCGGCGGTCCCCCGCAGAGGTGCACTTCTCCGATGAGCAGCTGGTGTCCATATCCGTCAGGGAGCTGAACCGGCTGCTCAGAGGCCTCAGCAAGGACGAGGTGATGCGTCTGAAGCAGAAACGTCGAACCCTGAAAAACAGAGGTTACGCGCAGTCGTGCCGCCACAAGCGCGTGCAGCAGAAACACATTTTGGAGCACGAGAAGACGAACCTGGCGTCGCAGGTGGAGCAGCTAAAACACGAGCTGGGCCGGCTCGTGAGGGAGAGGGACGCGTACAAACTCAAATGTGAGAGGCTGTCCGGAGCGAACTGCTACCACGAAACCGGCTCCACCAGCGACAACCCGTCCTCTCCAGAGTACCTCATGTGAGTTGGCTTTGTTCCTGGAGGTCTCACCTCCTCCTGGTTTCAGACCATCTTCATCAGAAAGACTAAAGAGTGCAACAGAAAAATAATAAAAACACCTGCAGTGAAGCATGCATGCTGGACATGTGTGAGATTTTTTATTTTATACTATATTTTATCTGACAGGAGATACTTGAAATCAGAGAATATTGACTTTAATCACATTTCATTTAGTTCGGCCTAATCCGCATTTGACAGTTTTTGCTTTTGTGCTCAGATTTAGTTTGGTGTTGATTTGTCTGAATGAGCTAAAATCGGATCTCTGACTCTGCTAGACACAGACATGGTCCATATCTTCTCCTCTTTTTAAAGCAGGATCACGATGTCGCCAGAACAGAAGGAATGCAGATTGTTTTTACTCTGTCTTTTGTTTCTTCATTATCTTTGGATCAATAAAACTATTGTGACTTTTTAATATCGCGTCTCATCTGCTGAGAAATTATTTGATTTACTCCAGAAAATTCCTCCTCATAGACTTTTGTTTTTTGTGAGATTTTTCCTGAAATCTCCTTTAATGTGTTCTTTTTTATTTTCATTTTATTTATTTTATTTTTTTGTCGTTTTTGCGGAACAATAAAAAAAAACACTGGACGCTGTATGAAATGAGAGAAGATTACAAATAAAACTGATCACATTCTCTATCCTCTAAGTTATTAATAATAATTATTAACACTCAGACTCACTTTCACACTAGGAGGATTTTATTATTCCGCCGAAGCCTGCAGTGTGCTGAGAGGTCCTTCCTTGACCTTTGCCCTTTGTGGAGTGCTGCTTCCTGAAAGACCCTAGCAGGAGAAAGCACAGGGGGGTAACTGGCCGGGGCAGATAAAACGAAGTGGAAATCATGCTTCCCTTCTGCTCTCTTCCTCGGACAAACAGATCAGCTCTGCGTTCATTAGCAGAGGAAGAGAGGAGGAACAAACCACGGCAGCACTCTCCTCTGGCCGGCTCTGAAGGAATGCTCTCACTGGTTTTTGGTTGTTGTTAATCCTCCAAGCACATCTCCTGCCCACAGATCACTCCCAGTTTGAGACTGGAAAAATATTTGGATGACCGTAATAGTTCCAAGGCCGGGGTGATAATGGTTGATAAGTGGTCAGATTGTAAATGGAGTTTATAACCTCGGAGAGCCGGCTCCAGTCTGAAACTGTCAGAGGAGACTTTGAACGCTCTCTCCTGCCTGCGGGATTCGAGGCCGGGCTGGTCGGGATAATGACACCTGGCTTCAATCTGGAAACCAGGTTGTGTTTTTACGTGTGACCTCCTGACCTCGGGGTTAAGGAAAAGCAGCGCAGAAGTTTCAGCACAAGTGCAGAAGCACTTCCCCTCTGAAACACGGGTCGGACCTCCTCCTTCACTCACTGATCTTGTTTCAGTTTGATCTGCTTCTGTAAAGCAATCATGTCCACGTTTAAACAAACATCTGAAAATATCAAAGCTTTTGTTTATTTTTATGAAAAAGTAACTTTTCTAAACAAAGAGTTTAGCTTGTTTTAAATGATGATTCAATGTGTAAAATAAATGGTTGAATTACGAAACAACTGTGATTAAATGCATTATTTACAGGCTGAGTCCAGTCCCACAGGCCACATCCAGACCTGCGGAATAAAACAGAACCTGTCAGGCAACATCAAGCAGCACATCATGGCCCAGAACATCCATAGCTCTACAGACCTCCATGGGAGCGTTCAGACCCAAGCCTCTGCTGATGAAAAACGCTGAAAAACCCATCTCACAATTAACAAAAACATCATCTCTGGACTGACGAGGCCACAGTAGATGCATCTGGAGTCCTACTAACAGTAAAACATCAGTCAGACATGGTGGTGGTAGTGTGATGGTCTGTTACATCAGGACCACTTGCTGTCAGTAAAGGTTGGTTTATGCTTGACGCGTCCGCGAGGTCCGCACGGCTCCGCGCGGAAAAGTTGCGTCATTTTAACAACCACGCCCCTCCACCGCGCCTCCGCACGGCCCAGAATTTCCGCAACGCGCACCTCGGAAAATTTTTAACCACGCGGACGGACGCGGAAAAACATGGCGGACCGGCAAGAACTAGTATGGCAGAGGTTTGTAAATACAGACATTTGTATGATTCAGCTCTCAGAGATCACCGTGATCAACATGTTGTTAATAATTCTTGGAGAGAAATAGCTCGCACTGTCGGAAAAGACGAGGACGCTGTTAAAAATGCTGAAATGCCATGTTGTAAACAACAGTAATTTCTACTTCTACTATGGTGTAGTGTTGGATGCATGTCGTAGAGCTCCATGCTGCCCCCTACAGTTTGAGAGAATATTGGCTCACTGCAGAGACAAGCCGCATGGACCATAAACGCTGCGAGTTGTGAAGCACGTTCCATCCGCGAGCCGCATCACCATGCGGAAGGTAAGTGCATCAAGCATAAAGCAAGCTTTAGCTGGAGAATGTCTGACCTTTGACCCTAAACAGGCCATTCCTGCTGGAAAACCCTCAGATGTGGCTGAATTCAGACGATTCTTTAAAAGAGGGGAGCAAAAGTCCTCCACAGGGTCATGACCCAGTCCCAATTATTAACACCGGATCGAGTTTATATTTAAGGGTGTCACAACTGGTCACGTTTAGGGGTCCAGGACTTTTCCACACATTGATTTTTGTCCCTTTAAATCAGGAGAAATCTTTTCACAAGCAACACTTAACACACAATTAAACGTTTATTTACCACATAGGGCAAATGAATGCAGACTGTATACGTTTGGTGTGGTTTGTAGACAGCCATGCACAGACTTTATTGGTGCAGCGATGGTTTGTGTGTTTGCATCATGCGTCACCCGCGGATTTCCAAGCAGCAGTGGAATAATACAGTAGAAATGTTGGCGAGGAGAGCGGCTTGTGGTGCTGTGTGACAGGGTGCCACTGTAGAAACGATTAGCCAGCTCTTTTCCCTCGCATGTGATAGGCTGGTGGGCCTGATGTGGGAGCCTCTCCCTCCCTCCATCCGCCACCACCAACACCCCGAGCCCACAGCGCCTGAGGCTGGCTACTGAGTCAGCAGGAGGGAAAGGTGTCTGCATGGCTGTGGTATCAGAACAAGAGAGAGAGAGAGAGAGAGGGGTGAAGAGTTGCAAGAATGGTTCAGAATAAAGAGGAGAGGAAGTCCGATCTGCAACACGGCCACCCTGTTATTTCATAGAGCAACGATTTAAAAACCTCCAAATGCATCTTTAACGGGTGGATTTGTTCTAGTAAGGCCCCAGAATTGGACATGTTGGGTGAAAATGCTTTACCTACATGAGCTGAGGGCTGTGCCAGCTTGGCTGGGTGCTGGGGTCTGCCAGGGCCTGGCTGCGTCTCAGACAGCCGACACAGACACAGGAATGCTGCAGATACTCCCTATTGTGTGAGGAGAGGCAGAGGAATGCGGGCTGTCCAGGCTGCGTACACCAATGAACACAGCCAGAGGCCACGAGGCTGAAAGACCCCACAGTCAAACAGCACCGACCGCCTCCGCCCAGCCCGCTTCGGACAGCGCTGCTATCTAAATGTCTCCTTATAAAAACTGTAGATTAGATATTCAATGAAAGGAATTATTTGGTTAGCTGAGTAGCTATTCTTTAGTCTAAATGAGCTCTGTTGATTAATCAGTGCATTGTTACTAATCCCTAGTGGTTAAGTGTCAACTGACCAGACATTTGACCCTCAACAACAAACTGTTTCCAGCTTCAACCAGTTCTGTCACCGCTGTTTTGCAACCGTTGAGTCTCCTAGCCAGTGAGCGCTTCTGAGAGCGACTTCACGTGAAGCGCTGAGAAGAGATTGGGATGGAGTACACAGGATGGACGAGAGGCTTCCTCTTTCACTTCCTACATGCGGGTCCAGTCAAGTGACTCTTTGTGAGAGTGTTGGGCTGGATGTCGCAGGAAAACGCAGCTTCGATGGCTGTGGTTTCCGCTCAGGATGCCCAGTCGCTTCTGCTCAGTTGTGACACAGTGAATCATGCAGTGATCACACACACGCACACAGTCGTCCCCATGGACATGGCGCACACACACACACACACACACACATGCAAATGCAGACTTTTTGTGTGCTCTTGCCCTCGGTCACTTTTTCATTAAAGTCATGTGATCACGGCTGATATTTTGTCAGAGCTGAGCCTGTTATTCCGGTCTGGACTGGATTTTGTACTCCTTGCACAGATCACGATCCGTCGCCTTGTCCTGACAGACTCCTCGGTAATTATGACTGCACTACTGGTAATGACTAAAGTAATCACATGATGGACTGTGCAGGGCCCAATGGAGCGGATTAATGTGTAGCCCCACAACAATAAAGTTTGCTATCTTATTGGCTGTAATAACGAGCCTGACTTCCTGGGGACGTTGTGTTCAGCGTGTTTGTGCACGATCTCTGGGGGATCTGATAGGACGGACCTCTGATAAAGAGCATGTCACGTTTCAGTGGGCACCACTGAAGGATTTGTAGCAAAGTCCTGTTCCATTACAGGCTCTGGACTTTGGCTCTGTAGCAAAGGGCGATCCACTGTATGTAATAATTATACAAGTTTCTCACAGCGCCGTTAAAAACCTCCCGGGTCTGGTTAACCCGGGCCAGAAACCTGCCGGTGACTCTGAACAGACTGTGCTTGTTGGTGTGAAAGTGACCAGTCGCTCCTTTTATACGGTCCAATAATGTCAACACCTCGACTTTTCTTCCTTCCACCGTTTCACGTGATGTTCTCTGGTTTCAGAAGTGTGACACTGCCGCTCTCCAGCATGGAGGGAAGAGAGGAGGGAGCGAGCGGGGAAGAGGAGTCTTTTCTCTTTCATTCCCTGCGAGGATTTCCTGTTCTGTTTTATGGGGGTCATGCAGCTGGCAGGCGCCCTCCTGTTTCTGTCCATAATGATGACAGGGGTCCATTAGAGCACCGTAGAAACACGAGCCACAGAGGTGAAGGCAGCCCCCCCCCCACACACACACACACACACAACATCTTTGACAGCCTCTTCCCTTTCCACAACCCCCAGATCCCGGCACACAGCCTACCTATCTAAAGGGAAGAGAATTCAGTCGTTGTTGACAAAGCTGCACTGATTAGGGTCAGCGTTTGCTCCTTGTGATCTGGCAACCTGGAAAACGGGAACGGCTGTGGTATCAGAAACTTGCCTCCAACCAGGAAAAGTAAAGGAAGGTGCTGGTGCTTCGATTTCTGGGAATCGTCATCAGCTGTGAGTGCAGAATAAAGACAGCAGCAAAATTATTTAGGGGTGTGTGTGTGTGTGTGGGGGGGGGGGGGGGGTATCCTCTAAACTGCAGTACAATGAGGTAGGGACATGCGTTAGTCCCAAAGAGCTTGTGATGGGTCTTCATTTGAGCCGTTGACATTCAGATCCGGTGTCATGTGATTCAGTCCAGCTGGGCTCCTTGGAACCGGGCGTGTCGCTCTCCCACTAATGCGTCATGTTAACATCCATCTTGTGTCATTTCTCTTCCTTCTTGTTGAGCCTAAATTCGATTGGACAAACCCAACTCTTCCAGCTGGTTCTAGGTTTGCTGGCTTTCTCTGCCTGCGTGCATTTGGAGGTCTGGTTGGAGGACTGGTCGGTCACACACCCTTTCTGGCTCTGCTTCCTCATGTTTAAAGTCGAGCCTTCGCTAAAAT